GCAACCATGTTTTCCCCAGCATCTCCCCACAATTTAAAAAGATTATCAGCAGGTGTTATGTTTGCGCCCCCGGACGTACTAAAGCCTTTATTTTGCATTATGTCCAAACTGTTGCACCGCTCTATAATTTATAAATACAATATGCCTGTTAGAGGTGATTCTTAAATCAGAGGGAATTATGACTTCTACTAACATGATTATCCCTGATGAGATGAACATTACTGTGGCTACATTGGCATTTTGAGGACTGAAACCCACATTTTCAGTGTTCAGTTTAGAATAATTGGAGACAGCAGAGATTTCTCATAGGCATTTGGTTTGAATAATGGATTTACAGAATTTGACAGCTCCAGGGTGTGGAAAAAAATAGAACTAAAACTAGAATCCCATAACTGGCTTTATTGGAAAGTTGGCAGCGTGGATGCCCAACTGAGTCTGCTTATGGAAGAGACACTGAGCTTTCCTCTTTGGCACAAACAAGAAATAAATGGGGAAGAAATGCTTGATTGTCAATGCACAGAGTTTCTGTTGTTCATATGGCAGATCCCATGCTTGTCCGCATTACTTCTGGGGTGGGGCCGAAAGGAAGCAAGAAAGCACAACATATTCTTCAATGTTTCCTTTGTCTTTCAAATCTCAAGACAAGTGGGAGAGTGACAGAAATATAGGGAATGATCTATTTTCCACTGAAATGATATCTAAATCCAGACCTATGTATGAAATGCAGAGGTGTCTGCATTTTGACCAGTATAATTATAGTTCAACGTGTATGGAGATTCTCAGTCATCCAGGTCATGGTTGTCCCAAAGGTGCTTTTTACAAGAGGCAACTAGACTTTCTGGTTTTTCTTTGAAGACATTTTGCTTCTCATCCAAGAGGGTTCTTCAGCTTCTCTTCAAAGAAAAACCAGAGAGTCCAGTGGCCTCTTGAAAAAGTACCTTTGGGACTTATAATTTGTTCTGACCTAGGCTTCCCCAACAGCACAACGCTGAGTCCTCATCTGGATAAACCCCTTTTATTTAATTTACAATGGATTTCCTCTCCAACAAAGTCCTGACCAACAGTCTTTCAAGATAGTTCCCAATTACAGATCAGGCTTGGAGAGGGGCCAGGCCTATATCTTTCAGACTCCGCAATACTTGGCAAGCAAGCCGGAATGAACTTAATTGTCTCCTGCAAAGCCCCACTCCCCTTTCGCTCCTCTTTATTCCCTAGGGGAGGGGCCATTCACCATCCACCTGTGGCTTTACTCCCAAGTCGGCCCTTGTTCCTCAGCTGTTCCCTTCATCTGGCAGCTCTGCGCATGCGCACATTGGGAACAGGCTCCAGCTGTTCTTCTGCCTCACTGATCTCCGACTCTGAAGGCAGCTGATAACTGTCAGATGGCCCTGGCCCCATCTCTGCCTCCAACACAGAGCACTCATCAGAGCCTTCCCCAGACTCCAGGACTGGCCCCATGTTACTCCCCAACCTCCTCACTGTCTGAATCTGCTGCCATCTCTGCTGGGGCCACAACATAATTACAGTTGTTGTACAGGTAGTCCTCAATCAACTGGAGCCTGCTCGTTTCGGTGTTGTGTTGTGACAGTTGTAAAACAGTTGGTCATGTGACTGACTTTTTTGTGTCAGTTGTTAAGCAAGCCAAGGGTTCACTATAGGCATGGTTTTGCTAAAAAAAAAAAAGCAGAAGTGATGTCAAAACCATTGTAAAATTTGGTCTTGTGACCATGGGATGTTGGAAATGGTTGTTTTGTTGAGTGCCTGAAGTTTGGTCATGTGATCACAGAGGAGGCCGCAGCCATCGGAACTTTGAATCCGGGCCATAACACCCCCTTTTCGGGTCAGTCATAACATTAAACAGTTGCTAAGAGAATAGTCATAAGTTGAGGACTACCTGTGTACATGAATAGTTTATGATTAAATAATCTCTTTTCCAAAGAGAGACAACCAACCCGTTAGCCTGATTACAAAGTTTGAAATTTGGGAGGAATCTGCCAAATTCCGATGGGACGATAGAGAAATCAATGTGAAATGTATCAGCCAAGATCTTCATTGCATACCTTGACTTTTCTACAACCAAGGAGTTTTACAAAGGGTCCTGTTACATCTTCCAGTTTGTAATCTTCTCATGTTTTCCAATTGTACCTCCCTTCTTCGTACTAAAAGAATATGAAGGAAAGAAAGATGAACTTACTGCAGAATGCTATAAGATTGGCAAAGCTCAGAATAGCTAATTTCAAAACATCTTTATACTCCTAATGCAAATTAATTTTTGAACACAAAATATGTAACAAAACATTTAAAATTCAGTGGTTTAAACTTGTAATTCTATTTATCAGGCAGCTGGTGAATGCTGCTTTGAAAGAGAGCAAGTGTGAACAGAACTTTTACATAATCACTAGTGTGATTATGATTTTATGAACTGTGTGTGCTTGTATGGAATGTGTGGGAGAAAAAAGGAATATTTCATTGTTTGTTACCTAACCTTCATGCTCAATTTAATTCTTTACCAGCTTTTTTTTTTGTTCTTAAGTCGAACCAGAAAAACAAATGAGGTTCCAGATGCAACAATAACAGAAATATTCAAAATGCATTTAATGAATTACCAGTAGTCTTCGACTTGTATTTATAATTGAGGCTGGAATTATGGCCATAAGTCTTGGCGGTCATGAAGCAGATCGCCATGTGACCATGCCTGATTTTATGACCTTTTTTGTGGCATGTCACGTGCTAAGTGAATGGTTGTTAAGTGGAATGGCATCGTCGTGAAATGAATCCATTTGATAAAATGGATGCTTTTTGCTGGCAACCAGAAACTAATAACTTGCTGAAAATCACACTCATTGGGCCATAGGATGCTACAAACAGCGTCAACACAAATTGATTGCCAAGCACCCAAAATGCAGTCATGTGAACATGTGTTTGTGTATGTGTGTGTGTACTGTTGTGAGAACTCCAGAACCAGATCATAAGTACCTTTTTTTGGGGGGGGGGAGGGGTCTTCCATAACTTTGAACGATTGCGAAGCAACCAGTCATTAAGTGAGGACTATCTCTTTAATTCCAAAACAGACACTGAGCTCTGAAATAGCAAAGAAATGATGCTTCTTGCCAGCAGAAATTGGAGAGTGGTCAATAGGTTTTTACGATTTTTTTATGACTTCATAATTTCAGACAGAAAGAAGTTAGTTGATTAAAGCTAACAGGGCTGGAAGGCCAATGGTGTGAATTATTAGCTGAAACTCATCAGGCAGTAGGATAAAATCTGACTCAGCTGCATGAAGAAGTAAGATAATAAAATCTCCAGTAATTGACTTGGAGGTTCACAGCAAGTTAAGTATTTCTATCTTTGTTCAGGGAGACTGCAGAATTATGGACACAGTTAGTCTAAGGCAGGGCTGTCAAACTCCCGGCCCATGGGCTGGATGCATCATACGCTGGCCACGCCCATGCCCAGTTGACATTTCACAGACTTATGTACCTAACAGATAACAGGTAGAGTTGGAAGGTACCTTGTAGGTCATCTAGTCCAACCCTCTGCCCAAGCAGGAGATCCTATACCATTTCTGACAGATGGGAGTCCAATGTCTTTTTGAAAGTCTCAAGTGATGGCATTCCCACAACTTCCAAGAGCAAGCTGTTCCATTAGTTGATTGTTCTCACTCCAGAACGTTTCTCCTTATTTCCAGGTTAAACCTCTCCTTGTTCAGTTTCCATCCACCTTCAGGTGCTTTAGAAAATAGCTTCCTCTCTGTGGCAGCACCTCAAATATTGGAAGACCACTATCATGTCTCCCCTGGTCCTTCTCTTTACTAGACTAGCCACGCCCAGTTCCTGTAACCGTTCTTCATATGTTTTAGTCTCCAGTCCCCTAATTATCCTTGCTGCTCTAGGATGCAGGTGGGTTGAATATCTGCACTTCAAAAGCAGGTTGTAAGTCCCATTTTCAGAGTCCATTATAACTTTGAACAGTGACTAAGTGACGGTTGAGGACTGCTTGTATTAGTTCTTAATTGACTTTAAGAACTGGAAATGGGTATGGATTAGTTTAATATTTCTTTTTTCTTTTTCTTTTTTGGAAGAAGATTGCTAAATACGTAAAAGTAAGTTCTACTTTACCTGATTTGGAACTGGAGAAATAGCTTTCTTCACCAAATACCTTGTGACACTAGGATTCATCTGCAATAGACACTAAAGTCATTGTAGTTTAGTGGTTATGGAGATCATGGTTATGGAGATTATGGTTATGGAGATTATGGTTATGGAGATTATGGTTATGGAGTCAGCCATCGAATCTCACTAGATGACTTGGGCTGCTCAGTTAATCTACTCAAACTTATCACACAGGGTGGCTGTTGTGAGAATAAAATGAAAGGAAGTTTCTGCATAACTTCCCTTGAGCTCCTGCATTAAAAAGAACAAATATATCTAATAAATCAAATCTAACAAAATCAATCAATCAATCACATGCACTCTCATCTCAAACTATCCCACACAATTATAGTATGGATGAAATGAAAGAAGTACTCCCGGTAGGCCATTTTCAGCTCCTGGAAAAAAAAAACCAGTGTATCTAGCTTAAACTTTAATGACAATTTAGTACTAATATGTTTTATGATTTTCCTTGTCTCTGAAGCCTAATTTTCTATGGCAAAGATACCAGAATATCCAGCATAACAATAAAAACAAACTAAATCACTAACTGAGCAAGAGTAGGAAATCCACAGTGGCAATAAAAACAGATGTTCCTTTGTGTATAAACAATTCAGGGGTCCATTTTTTTTAAAAAAAAAAAAGCCTGATGCCAGAAGAAGATTATTCAGGAGGTAGAGCCTCCATCTATGCTGAGGACTAATAGAGAAATTCGGTCAAAAGTGGAGCAGCGAGCTGATAAGCGGTTGGATTCAAGGGAGCTAATACTGCATTCCTACCGGTCCTTCATGCTTAAGTTCTGTTCTTTTCATTCCTTCCTACTAATCTTCCTTTTCTCCTGATTTGCAGGTTCATCCAGGTCAGCACTATGACTGATGGGGACTATGACTATTTGATCAAACTCCTGGCCCTTGGGGATTCTGGGGTTGGAAAGACCACTTTGTTGTACAGATACACAGACAACAAGTTCAACCCAAAGTTCATCACGACAGTAGGCATCGACTTTCGAGAAAAGCGTGTGGTGAGTTTCTTCTTTGTTGTGTTTGTGTGTGTGTGTGTGTGAGAGAGAGAGAGAGAGAGAGAGAGGTGGGGAGGCAGAAAGGTCTTCCTGAAGCTTCCACTCTCTCAAAATAAATCTTTTCAACATCTCAGTGGGACAATATCTGCTTCCTTGTGTGGGTTTTGCCCTGCATTTTGTGGCCTTCACCTGAATTGTATGTCCCCCTGACCAGTCTTTTCGCTTAGTCCAAAATGGCATTTGTATATTGTTTCATCTCTTCCCAGGGTATAGGTCACCCACAACTAACAGCTGTAATTGAGCCTGACAATTAGATTGTAATAGTCAGCAGATTTCCATTTGACTGGAGCTGTTTTGATGACTTTTTTTCCCAGCGGTCATTAAGCAAACCCAGTGGTCCTTAAGTAAACTCCATTGTTCACTGTGGAACAGTTTTTGCCCAGAAATCAGAAGTAAACACCAGTTTCTGGCAAAA